GACCCGCTCTCTCGTCCATCCACTGCCCATCAAGGAAAGGACTAGTCTTGTGGTTAAGAGACAGCATGTCTCTGCCCTGAGGGTGACTGATATCTACCTGTGGGGTTAGAGAGGGGGACAGAACCCAAACAAACAACAAACAAATGCAGGTTTAAATTATAACAAGGGGGCTGGGTGTGGTGGCTCACACCTGTAATCCTAGTACTCTGGGAGACTCAGGCTGGAGGTCAGGCTTGAGATCAGGAGTTCGAGACTAGCCTGAGCAAGAGCAAGACCCCTGTCTCTACTAAAAATAGAAAAAATTGGCCAGGCGTGGTGCATGCGCCTGTAGTCCCAGCTACTTGGGAGGCTCAAACAGGAGGATTGCTTGAGCCCAGAAGTTTAAGGTGCTGTGAGCTAGGCTGACGTCATGGCACTGTAGCCCAGGCAACAGAGTGAGACTCTTTCTCAAAAAAAAAAAAAAAAAAAAAAAATTATAACTAGGGGAGAGACAGACAGACAGACAGAGAGACAGAGAACCTGTTTAGACGGGGTGGGCAGGGAGGGCCTCTCTGAGGAAACTGTTTTGTTAAATAGCGAGAAGGTGCCAACTATGTAAAGGTGTGTACAGGAGGTGGGATGGAGAGCCTTGCAGTGGAAGGAAAGGGCATACCCATGGAATGGAAATGCAGCAAGCAAGGCAGGTGTGTGGGGCAGGTGAGTGGGAGGGTGGGCAGGGCCAGTCTTGTGGGCCAAAGTGAGGCTTTTGGACTTATACAAAGTGCAACAGGAAGCCCTGGGAGGCTTTTAGGCAGGGGTGAGTCATGACCAGAAGTCAGTTTTCCATAGGTCACCCCCTCTGTCAACAGCCCCAACCCGAATTTCCCAGTAGTGATGTGACTGAGGAGCTAGCATGCCTGCTTTGTGGCCTAGCTCTGCCTTTCTCTAAGGATGGCCTGGATGCTCCCAGTTTGCTCTTTTCCCACAGGGAATGTCGCAAACTGTCCCGAGGGTTGTATACTCACATCCACATCCACACAGGGCTTGACACGAGTCAGATGCTCAAATGATAGTTTTCAACTGTTTCTTGTGGTTCTCTGTTCTTCTCCTTAGGGGTCACGAAGCTGAGCCGTGGAGAAAGGCTGGAGTCAAAAAGAGACTGGCTTCTGAGAGTTTTACAGTAGTTGAATAAATGGGAAAATAGCACACATCCTGGTTGGGAAATAAAATGTTATAGAATATTTGATCTGTTTAAACTAATTCCTAGGTTCAATGCAACTCAATGGAAAATCTCAATATTTCTTTGGAACTAAAAATACTATTAACAACAATAGCTAACATTTACTAAGCATTTACCGTGTACTAGACATTGAGCTTGTGAAGCAGGTGCTATTCTCTTCCTCACTTTATAGACCACACCCCTGCGGCCTAGAGGGAATAAGTAACTTGCCAAAGTCACAGGGCTGCTAAGTCTTTTTAAATCTTTATTTATTTACTTATTTATTTTTGAGACAGAGTCTCACTTTGTTGCCCAGGCTAGAGTGAATGCCGTGGCGTCAGCCTAGCTCACAGCAACCTCACACTCCTGGGCTCAAGCAATCCTCCTGCCTCAGCTCCCGAGTAGCTGGGACTACAGGCATGTGCCACCATGCCTGGCTAATTTTTCTATTTTTTTAGTTGGCCAATTAATTTCTATTTCTATTTATGGTAGAGATGGGGTCTCGCTCTTGCTCAGGCTAGTTTTGAACTCCTGACCTTGAGGGATCTGCCCTCCTCGGCCTCTCAGAGTACTAGGATTACAGGCGTGAGCCACCTCGTCTGGCCAAAGGGCTGCTAAGTCTTAAACCTGGATGGTCCGTCCTCCAAGCCAGTGCTCTTAACCCTTAGATGGTTATCCTGGAATGTGTACAGACACATAAACCAGTGTGGATTCTGAAAAAAGAAGACCCCAGGAGGGAGAATCAAATCTTGTCAGATGTTATATCCTATTTCAAAGAACCAATATTTAGATTTATGTGGTATTTACTCAAACCAATGTCTACAGAAAGAATGGAGAATTCAGAAATACACTAACCAAAACCAAAACCCTAGCATAAAAAGTTTTACTAACAAAAGATAAGGGACAAATTATTTAATATATGTTGACTGCATTAACTGGTGATGGTGGCATAGTTAAATAGATATTTTACTCCAAAATAAATAAAGCAACATAAAATTGGGACAGTCATCAAAGAATTAAATATGAAGTGAAATTGTACAAAAACTAGCAGAAAGACTGAGATGGGTGGAAGAAAGCTCACTTTGTCAGAATTGAAGCAATGAAAATCACAAAGGACTAGCTAGGATGACAGATTGAACATTAGAATAAAACGAAAAAGAACAACAGGCTAGAGCCAGAAAATATTTGCATCAATGATGACAAAGGAGCAATATCCGCAATATTAAAAATGCTTGTTCAAAATGAAAAGAGGTTCAAGTTCCCAACAGATGAATGGATGTGAACAGATCATTCACAGAATGGGGAATGCAGATAGTAAATGCATAGAAAAACATTCACTTTTGAATGTTTAGTCATCCAAGAAATGCTAAGTAAAGTAACCTTGAACTAGCAACAGACACTATTAAAGTGGGGGCGGGAGGTAGGACTGCACTCAGCGCTTAGAAATGTGCATTAAACTCCTTACACTTGTTCCTTGGAGGCGGTAGAATAATTGGGGCAGCTCTTTGGGAAAATATGACGCCCTAAGGAAAGACCACCCGGCAATTCACAGCCTTCCACCTGGGAGTCTTTTCACTCCCAGGAATTCGTCCCAAGTGCAGAATTCAAGGATATGTTAGCAAACAACTGTGAAGACCCAAAATATACCGTATCAGGGCCTGAGTGAATGGACAGGGATATCTGCACACCTTAAAAACGAATCATGTGAATAAAAGAAAATTTTAGTGAATGTAGCAAACAAAAGAAAATGTGTGGGTGCAACTATGTAAAGACATGGATATATGTAGAAGGTTTTATGTGTGAAAAGTTGCATTCTGTAGTAATAACATGGATACTTTATTCTTTTTACATTTTTCTTTCTCTCTGGTTGTCATTGTCTTTGCAGTGGTGCTAAAATAATTCTGGACTCATACCCAGCCAGCAGCGTGACTTTGAGCAAGTTTTCTATAAACTCGGGCAGTACTTCCCCGGGCGGCTGAGGTCTGCGGGAGATGGCCTGAGCCGAGTCTGGCACTTTGTGGGTACCCTAGACCACCTTCTGGCGGTGGAGGCGCCTCCTCCCGCTAAAACGCGGAGCCACCGCGCCCAGCGCCGGACCTCCTTCCAGGGCCCGGCGTCTGGTCGGGCACTCCGAGCCCCAGCGTGGCGGGGACTCCTTTCCGCAGGGAACTTTCCGGAGCAGGTCGGGGGTGTGTGTCCCACGGGCGCCTGCGCTCAGGGGCGAGGTCGGGCCGTGACCGTCAGGTGCGGCTGAGGGGCCGCCTCGCGGCCACCCCGAGCTCCCGATCCTGCCCCGGGCTCCGGGCGCTCTCGCCCAAACCCGGCCGCCGTCCAGGGCCCCTCCCAGGGCCCCAGCTGCCGGGAAACTAGGATTTACAGGGCGCCTCCTGCGGAAGCCTGGAGCCCGCGGGGACGCCGCACGGCCCGGATCGGACTTCGCAGGCAGGGGCACTAGGGTGCCCTTCCAGGTCTCAAGGGACGCGCCCGGCCCCCAACGGGGGCGCAGCCCCTCCAGCAGCTGCACGCGCACTTCTGGACCCGCGGCCGCTGCGTCCGCTCGCGCCATCGAGTCCGGCGGGCACCAGCGGCACGCTTCGCCTCGGGCGGGCGCGGTCGGACCCGGGGCACCAGCGGGTTCCTCGCCGTAGGGCCGACAGCCGAGGTGAGGCGCGGGCCGCTTCGCTCCCGCGTCCGAGCAGGGCCGGCGCGCACGCTGCGTCCCCGAGGGCGCACCTCCCGCTCCAAGCCGTTGCGGGCCACACGCGTCGGCCGAGGCGCCGCCGCGTGCCCTGCGCCACGGCCTCGGGGGCGTCCGCGCCGAGGTGCCGCCGGACGTGGTCGCCGGCGGCGCTGGAGCCCGGCACACCGCGGCGCTCGCTCTCGCGCGGCCGCCGGCCGGGCAGACGCCCGGCCGCCCGGCGCCAGGCCCGGGGCTCCGCGCGGCGCGAGGGGCGCGGGCTGCCGGGAGGACCGCGGAGCTGGGGGGGCGCGGGCGCATGCGCCCTGCGCCCGTGCCATATTGGAATGAGTCGGAGCGCGGAGCGCCGCCGCCGCCTCCGCCGGAGCGCGGGTGGAGGGGGGCGGGGAGAGCTGCCGGCCGCCCGCTCCGCCGAACCCAGCAGGAAGGAGGGCGCGAGCGGGCGAGCGCGGGCGGCGCGGGGGAAAAGCGCCCGCGCGGGGGAGAGAAAAGAAGGAACGAAAGGAAGAAAACGAGCGCGAGAGAGGGAAAGCGAGCGATTCAGCGAGCGCGCGCGCGAAAACTCCCGGCAGGTAAAAAAGCGGGGCCGCCGGCTGGGCCTTCCCGCGCGGCGGCCTGAAGGGGCGGCGTCGGCGGCGGGGCGGGGGACCGCACGGCACCCCCTTTGGAGCGGCCGCGCAACTTTGCCGACGGAAAACCGCCGGGAGCCGGCGGGCGGCGGGCGCGCGGGCTGAGGCGCCAACGGGCGGCGGCGGCACGTTGGGCGGCGGGGCGGGCGGGCGCGCGCGCGCTCGCGCGGCTCCGCGCGCCGGCGGCCGGCTGCAGGGTGCGCCTGGGCCGCGGCGCGGGACGCGGCGGCGGCGGCCGTCAGCCCTAGCCGGCGGCGCGGCGCGCGTCAGCCCGCGGGAGGCGTGAAAGGAAGTGGCCGGGCGGCGGCAGTGGCGGCGCCAAGTTCCCCGGCGCACTGGGCCGCTGCGCGCCCTCCGCGCCGCCCGTCGCGCCCGCCGAGCCCGCGGACCCGCCCCCCGGGCTCGCTCCGGGCGGGGCGCGAACCCGCAGCTGGGCTGGGCGCGCGGCCCTTCGAACTTCGGAGGGCCGAGGCGGCCGCCGCGCGGTGCGGGGCATTTGGCTGCAGCCGCAACCGGTTGCTTCGGGCCTCCGCTGTGGAGCGAATGGGCCTCCCCGGCGCCACGGCTCCGCGGGAACCGCTGCCCGACCCCGCGGACCTGGTCAGGGTCCAGACCTGCCACTCGGGAGGTCCGTGGCCGTTTCGATTTCTCTTCTTAAAGTCTGATTTTGGAGGCTGAAAAAGAGATGGTGGAGAGGCGAGCTGCGTCCTGGGAAGCAAGGCCTGCTCTGCGGAGCAGAAGCTCCCTGCGAGAAGAGAAATTCCCGCGGAAAGGGTGTATGTTAAGTTTTTCACAAGATGTCAGCTGTTCACGTGGGGTCTAAAACTAAGCCATCAAGCACAGGTCGTCTCCGGATCGTGTCACGCTCAAGAAGTGGGGTGGGACGCTTCGGTCAGAAGACTGGGTTTTATTTGTCGGGGGTATTCCCAGCAGGTCACTCAAAGCAGTGCCGGCTAGTGGCCCAAAGTGATGTTTTGTAAGTCCTACTTAGCAGCGATCTGTTTTTGAGAACCAAGTAACCATCAAGGAGATTTGAAAGGTAGCAAGATGGATTTTGGCAATCCCTGCGTATGACTTCCCTTAAAGCACATTTTGAAGATGTCATATTTTACGTATTTGACATAAAATGTGATCTTTAATTTGCCAGCGTCTTGAGAGGATGAAGAAACATGAATGCGTCTTCTTGCGTACACTTTGGGGCCTGTTAACTGTTGTTTTGAGACATTTGGTGAATCCTTCTAGGCCACAGGTAGATTCAGAGTTCAGGTTTGTTTGCAGTGCCAGAAAAGTAACGGCCTGGTGGAAACGGGAGTGGCGGGAGATCAGGAAACAGTTCTGTTACTACCATTGTCATTGACTAGCTCCCTTATCTTGGGTATGTTTCTTACCCTTTGTGGGTAAGGTTTGATTTTTCTTATTTGTAAAATTAGGATAAATAGATCATCTTTCTGTGAGCTTTCAGTTCTAAAATTGGGTGACTTTTTAAAAATGAAAGCTTGTCAAAAATCACAGTCCATATTTTGAAAGGTTCTACATTTAAGTGCTCACAGTGTGCATCTTTATTAAAAAGCATTTGGGAAAAAAACTCTTGGTAGCTATATCCAGAATGATTTAATGTAAGTTATTTGAACAAAAACATTAAAGAATGTATTTCAGTGTGCTTAAAAATATTTATTTTTTATTGATGTGTAACTTGCAGTTAGATGTTAAGAGTACAACCAGCAACTTTTTACATGCATACGTGCCCTGATAATCACGTTATCAAGGTATAGAATGTTTTCAGGTGGCCTTGCCAAGACTCCCTTTGGATCCCTCTCATTCAGTAAACACCCCCACTTCCCCCCCCACAAGGCAACCACTGTTCTGACTTCCGTTGCCACAGATGAGTTTTGCCTCAAAATAGGACCCTTTTGACCATGAAAGGGGACAATATGAATAATTAAACTGAAGGACTGCAGGTATGTAAACATTTTATCTATGACTCTATGCATTACGACAATTCTTAGGGTTTTTACTATCTAGACTAACTTAAAATTCTAACCTGAGAGACTTCTTAGTCAGAAGGTCTCTTTTCAGCTGCAGGTTTGGATTTGTAGTTCTCGGGAGTCTTTATGTTCACAGGTGTGGTATTAATCTGTTACTTCCCATTTTTGAAATACAGATATATTTGTATACAGTAGGTTTGGAGGGTGAATCACAAATTTACCCCAACAAATCAGTTCCTTAAAGCCTAGACTTTGCTGAGAAAATTGAATGAAAATTGATTTTTTAAAGTTTAGTGAATTAAGAATGTGGGTATAAAGGTTTAATGATCTTTTAAATGATAGCAATTAACTTGATTTATATATGCAAGATGTGTCAACTGGTTTATCAAATCATTAAAACTCTTAACTATGGAAGCAAAAACAAAAGGTAACCAAAAATTATGTCAGGTGTGATTTCTTTTTTTTATCTCAGCATGATGAAGATACCTTTTTATAATACACCTCTATCTAGGAAGGTGGATTTTTTTGTATTCTTCACTGAAGCAAGTACTGCAGCAATTTGCTTATCCTTTCCTAATGTCTTTTAATATATACTTGTGCCCTTTCTTGTTTCTGTAGGTAAAAGGGACAAGTTAGATGCTAAGTGAATCCTTATTTTGTTAGTTCCTAACAAAGGCCTGTATTTTTTACCACAAGGACATCTGTGTGATAAAAGTTGGGAATGTTCTAAGGTCTCTGGTAGGGATGTATGGGGGATAGTTCACAAAGTTCAAAGGTTTTCTTTTGTGAAATTATTTCACTGAATAATTCTGTCTTTCTGGCAACTGTCTGGCAACTAAGCTGGAATTGGTTGCTCCATTCAAGATTCCTAGTCTCATTAGTTAAGAGAATAAGTGATGATTTAGCTATTACTGATCTGCTGTTTCTTTGTGTGGCTCTTTTTAGGTTTCTTGGCTTTTGCATTATCAGGTCGTTTAAATTTATTAAATCTTAAGAGATGCAACTAAAGAGATAGAAAATGAGAAACAGAATACACATGAAAGGGAATTTCCTCTTTTTTATATTTGTTTCTTTACAAACTCTTTTTCTCTTTAAAAATGCTTTGCCTGTCCATTATCTTTACTGCTTTTTAGGGTACTTATGCTTTTACAGTCGTAACTAGACTGGGCTTAGGTATGGAATGTTGGTATAGAAGCAGATATTATTTGACTCTAAAATCTATAGAAAAAGGTGAACTGTCCATACTTCATTGGCTTTATATTATGACTTTGTGTTATGGTCACATTAAATAAATGAATACACCCAAAAAGCAGAAGACCATTATTTAGACAGGTATTTTAAATGCTAAATATTGGCTGGGCGCAGTAGCTCACGCCTGTAATCCTAGCTGTCTGGGAGGCTGAGGCAGGCGGATCGTTTGAGCTCAGGAGTTCGAAATCAACCTGAGCAAGAACGAGACCCGTCTCTACTATAAATAGAAAGAAATTAATTGGCCAGCTAATATATATAGAAAAAATTAGCCGGGCATGGTGGCGCATGCCTATAGTCCCAGCTACTTGGGAGGCTGAGGCAGTAGGATTGCTTGAGCCTAGGAGTTTGAGGTTGCTATGAGCCACGGTACTCACTCTAGCCTGGGCTACAAAGTGAGACTCTGTCTTAGAAAATAAATAAATAAATAAATGCTAAATATTTTTAATATTAAAATTTTTCTAATAACTTCCCCAAACTTTATTTTGCATTTATTTGACTGATAGGATAACTAGTATTTCAGAATAATTTAAATGAGAATAAAAGAACATGTAATCAGTAAATGGTACAGATATCTTATGGCAGGGTATTTTTCTGTCAGTATATAACATTTGTTATTTAACTGGGGTGTTTTGTATTTGAAAATAATATTTATATACGTAGTTGTTAAATTGGACGAAAGTCTTTGGGGATTTTGGTTACCTTTGAGATTTTGAACCATTAGACTTTGGGGAGTTGGATTTTGATAGAACTCTACCATTCTTCAAGTGATATTAGCTCCATTGGAAAATTATTTAAAAGAGAAAGGATGTGGTCAGTCATTGCAAATTCATATTTAAAATTTCAGAAGTGGGAGGAAGGATAAGAGCAAAGAAATATTAGAATAAAAATTATGCTTTGCAGAATTTTTAAGAAGCTTGATTATAAACCTTTTCCTATAACTCAGAGACATTTAAAGATTTGCATATAATTATTCTTTGTATTATTCAAAAGGATGTTTATAACCTTATTCAGCTCTCTTTGTCTATAGGTGATCACTCAAGGTTGTTATTTAAAAACAAACAAATATAGTCTATGTATTGTGTTAAATGATATTAAATCCCTGTCGAACTTTGTGGTTTGATAGTTCAATAAATTTCAGTGAGCCAGTCACTTTACTGTGCAGGGAGAGGCTATAAGGTCACATTGCTAACTTGGTGTACAGTGCTACATGCATTGGTTCCTTTTTGGCGTTTTTGCTTAGTCTAGAGAAAGGTTAATTACTAAACTGATTTGGGGCAGATAAGGTAGTTGAGAGTATCTGCTTTGTCTGGGAAAGTTGGGTTCTGGTCTGAGATGGTGTTTGGAGAGGATCTTAGATGAAAGATGGAGGGTGGTTTGTTGGCAGCCGAAAGTGTGGGACAGTCACATATTTAGAATGACAGTATAGATGGGATGAGAAATTTAGCAATTACTAAAATGCCTCAAGAGCTTTTCTTGCTGATATTCAACTTGAAGTGTTAACCAAGAAGTGCTTTGGTTTGAATTCCAAATTATTATTTTTTTATACCCTGAAGGATTTTTTAAAAAAGTATTTGAGGTGGCTACTGTGGAATATTTGCTCAGTGGTAAGGCTGTGTGTGAGTTGCCACTGGTTTTTCATTCTTTTTCACATCAATTTGCTACTTGGACTAGACTGTGTTTCTGTCTGTAAGTTTTTGCTAGTGTTCTTTCTTATGAATCATTGTCTATAAAACATGCTTTTTCCATGTTAAAAATGGTATGTAGTAATTTGAAATCATAATTTTAAGATACCGTTTTGGCTCATTTTTACTCATGTCATAAAATAACCTTGGAGAGGTTAGATGATGATCACACAGATGCACTTAACATATCCCCTGTCTAGAACATGGTAAATAACGAGGAAGTAAATTTTTACTATTTTAAAAAATGTTTATTATTGAGTCGTATGATATATATCACATGAACTTTACCATTTTAACCATTTTTAAGTGTATAGTTCAGTGGCATTAGGTATATTCACATTGTTGGCAACCATTACTACCGCCTATCCCTAGAACTTTTTACATCTTCCTAAACTGAAAGTATGTACTATGAAACAGTTACTCCCATCTCCCCTCCTCCCATTCCTGACAACTGCCATTCTAATTTCTGTCTCTATGATTTTGACTACTCTAGTGTCTCATATAAGTGGAACCATACAGTATTTGTCCCTTTGTGACTGCCTTATTTCACGTAGAATAATGTCTTCAGGGTTCACCCATGTTGTGGCATGTGTCAGAATTTTTTTTTTTTTTTTTTGAGGAAGTAAATTTTTACTATTTTAAAAAATGTTTATTATTGAGTCGTATGATATATAGAATGTTCTAAGGTCTCTGGTAGGGATGTATGGGGGATAGTCCACAAAGTTCAAAGGTTTTCTTTTGTGAAATTATTTCACTGAATAATTCTGTC